TAGTTTCTTAGATAGAGATAAAAGTTTTTCACCAAACAAACTGAATCTCTGTTTGTATGCAACGTGAATGCCGGAATGTGATACTACCAATATATGAAGCATTATTTTAAAATCCAATAAATATGCAAATAATGGTCTGTGACAAGAAATATTTTTTGGGGGGGAGGCTTTCAGTCTGTTTAGTTACCTTGATGTAATTGTTAATTTAAAAATCTGAATAAAAATGGCTTTTGAGAATGTCCAGAACTAAACTCGTATAGCTCATAAACCCTTGTTGAATAGTGTTCTGCAGCTGAAATATCCCTCCTCAGAAGGACTTTCTGAAATTACTGAAAATCTTGGTATGTTTGTTAATAGTACACCACTGGTTTTTTTTGACCTGCAGGTGAATTCCTAGTGGGCTCTCTGGATCAGATCAGTGTGGTTGAAATACCTTATCTGGAGGAGAAGGTTAGCATGTTTGTGGTGCTTCCATCCAATAGGAGAACCTCTCTAGCCAGGATTGAGACTTACCTCTCGGCTCAAACCTTCTCTCTGTGGTCCAGCACCTTGAGAAGAACAGCAATGGATATCTTTCTCCCTAGGTAAACAATCAGTGTACATCCAGTTGCTTCAACATTTGGATCTCCGCTCGTGTTTGCTGTGTGTGTAACAGGCAGGGATGGGATTGAAAATTTTTAGCAGTTCCCGGTTGCTGGGTGAGTGTGGCCATGGAGCGTGGCCTAGTCAGCTTCCTGTACCATGGCAACTGGGCGTGGGCTTTTTTACCCTCCATAGGCTGTGGAGGTGTTCCTGGAGCCTCCAGGAGGGTGAAAACGGTCTCCCGCGGTCTCCAGAGGTCTTCCGGGGGCCCTCCAAAGGCTGGAAACAGGCCTGTTTTTGGATTTCCAGTAGGCCCATTTTTCGCTCTCCCAGAGCCTCCATGAACTTACCTGGCATGATGAATGGGCTGTATGGAGACTCCTGGGAGGGATGGGGCAGGGTGAGTGGGGTCAACCATTTCTTGTAACTACCAGTTCAGAGAACCAGATTAAAATTAACATCTGGTTTGCCTGAACCGGTCCAAACTAGCTGAACCCCACCCCTGGTAACAGGCACAAACATGACTTTAGACAAAATGCCATGGCTATGGATATGAAATATGGTTGGAAAGAGGAGAGGACACAGCCATATCATCTGGATCTGTGCTGCCTAAAACCTTAAGTGTAGAAATCCAGGGATAAGAAACGAGTACAAAAGCAAAGGCATGCTTTAAGCCCTAGAAACAGAATGAGAATGCACAACCTGTTCTTGTAAATATGCAAAATTCAGCATGGACCACATGCTTTTGAAACGTTGCTCCATTGCAATCCCCATCATATCTCATTCTTAGACATGCTAAGTAGATCTAAGTAGGTCTGCTGGAAGGTGATGTTCACTAAGCCCTGGAGAGGCCATATGTCACCTAGTCCATAGAGGAATTGCACTGAAAATAACATAGTATATTTATAGTGTTCATCTATCACCTTTCCAGGTTCAAAATTCAAAACCACTTGGATTTAAAGAGGATTTTGCCTACATTAGGAATTACAGACATGTTTGAGCAAACAGAAGCCAATTTTAAGGGTATTTCAGGTAAGCTGGCCTATACAACTTTTTCAGGTCAAATGCCATATGCAACTTTGAAGTCTTAGGAGCCACAGTGTAAAAAATAGGCAGGATCACCATAAAGAAAGGAAAAAGGATCTAACTTTAATGGAAGATAAAATAAAATAATACAATAATCTCTTTTACATTTAAAGTTTTCCCTCTTCTGTTGAAAATTACAATTCATTGGAAACTTTTGGAAGATCTTAGGAGCTTATATGCATTATGTTAAACTAAGGACTCAAATTATAGATTCTGCTCTGTGGCAATGATTCAGTGGTGGGTTGCAGGTGGTAGACCCCGGTACGGGTGTACCGGAACCTGCCCGGAGCACCAGATACCGTTCCGGTATCGTGCTCCAGAGAGCCCACCCACCCTTCTGAGCGCCTTACTGGTCTTTTAAGTCTTCAGCGCTTCCACGCACAGCACATACAGCGCCTGCGCAATGGTCTGCTGAGCAGCTGGAGTGTTGCGGAGGCTTGTGGAAGTGGTAAGACGCACGCGCACGCTGCGGGCATCCATGTGGACGATGCCCAGCCCGTTCCAACCGTACCGGTTGGAATGGGATCCGGAACCCACCACTGCAATGATTCATCACAAAATATCTTCTAATAGGAGTTTTGGGTCTATAAAACCATTTTTCTAATCATGGGTGGATATGGGTTATTTCTGGAGCAAGAATGTACCTTGTACTCTGTCTATTTCACACAATGCTTAATTCGGGACTCTTGTCACCTAAAATGTTTTGCCATGAAGTTTACAAATCACTTCATTTATCATGGCTGACTTATTTATTTATTTATTAATTAAATCGATTTATAGGCCGCCTAATTCCGGAGGACTCCTTATCCTAGAAGTGCATTCAAAAGTACATTTTTTGTGTGTCTTTACTTGTATACGACCCTATAATCTGTTTTTATCAGGGTGCAGTTGGGGAGACTGAATGGAATGCATTTACAGGCTGGATGCCCTTCCTGATGCCTACACAGAGTTCACAGCAGATATGTTCTCTTTGTGCCCCAATAGAGAAACATTTGTCACTGCCTAGGTTTGAACTCTCAGTCTCCTAAGTGTGAGGCAAGTGTCTTCACCTCTAGGCCACCACGCAGTTCATTCAAAAGCCACAATATTGGTGTAAAAATGAAAAACCTTCCATTGAAAAGCCCTATGTAGATCTTTAATATCAGGAGAAAGAATAAGTAAAATTGATAAAGTTATTTTGGATAAGAATTGGTTTTTTTTTTGGTAAGCATAAAGTAAGGGTAAGGATGGACTTTTTAGTAAGGACAGTTTTATATTGGAGGACTTCTTCAGTCATATTTGATGTTGGAAGAGTTAGGAGTGACTCAGTTCTCCTTGCAATTCATGTATTCATTAATGGATGGGCTCCACTTCACTGAGGATACTTACTAAATTTATAGATGGCATTAACGTTATAATTTCTTTCCAGAAATTAAATTATCTAGAAACACTCTCTTTTCCACAGGCTTTTATTTCATTTTGTCAAACTGTCAAACAATACCCACCTGCCTTTGTACATTTTGACTAAGTGCTCTGATAGTTGTCTTCTTAAAAAAAATTTTTTTAATAAATTTTATTTTGTTTGTACAAACATCACATCTTTGCAACGCATTACATTTTTTTACCTATCTGTTGTGTCTGTTTTATCTATACCAATAAATCTTTTTTTAACTATGACTTCATATATTTGTGCATTT